GACCACGATGCCCAGGGGGACCGAGACACCTCCCTGAGCTACCATAGGGAGCATCCTGCCTCTCTGGGGGCAGCCTGGTAGGGAGCCGGGGTGTCCTTGGCGATTACCCACCTGCCTGGTAGGTCCCCTCAAAACGCCGGGGAAGAAAGGCTTCCAAACCCTGGGCCCACCTTTCAACAGTAAGCACTTGTCATCTCCATGTTAATGCTGAGTCCCCACCCCCCTCCACGTCACAGGCCTCTGGAGTCCCCATCAAGTCCCTGTCCCGTGTTCTTCCCCAGCCACCGCCCCGACCGGAACCAGCTGCAGACTCTGGGCTCCTGGTCTCTGCCGGGTGGTGGTATCTTGGGGTGTAGGCTCCGCTGGCCTCACGTCCACCACCCAGCTCGGGGAGCTCCATGTCCCCTAGGGCCAGAGCCAGGTCACACCTCCGGGCTCCTGTGGCATCAGGTTCCTGAGGGAACCACAGGGCAGTTTTGGGGCCTTCCACGGCCTCTCGGAGTCTACTGCTCTTCGTCCTCCTCGGACGGGGCGGGCACCACCTCTCTCCCACCACCTTCAAGGGGGCTTCCTGGGCTTGGGTCCCCTTCTCTCTCAATGGCAGGGCCGGCTTTCAATGCCTGTCGAGGACGTCCCAGGCTGGGAACAACTTGCCAGTCAATGTGACAGGAGAGATGAACCTAGAGACCTACCACTCTCTCCACACTCATGAGGCCCCCAGGAACGGGGTATGCTTCTGGGTACGGAGGGTGGGCTGCATGGACCCAGAGCCATTGCCCTGGGGGCTCCCCCACCTGCTGGGCCCAGGCCCTAAACCTGCTGTGGTGGAAAAGGGACTTGGTTTTGATTCTCAAACTTGGGGTTCGTTTCCAGGCTGGCGTGAAGCGAGGTGACTCTAGGTGTGGATCCTGGCCCACCAGCATTAAGGGCGCGACAGCAGCCACCTTCCTGGAGGACAGGGTGGCCACTTAACCCAGAGCTCCAGGCTCCAAGTTCCCCTCCGCCCACTGTCCCAGCAGGTCCCACCAGCAGCCAGGCCTTGTTTGATTCTTGGCAAGTGGCACCGAGCATCCTGGGCAGTGGGGCAGGCGGGAGGGAGGGCACCCTCCAGGAGGCCTTGCTGGGGCGGGTGGGGACAGGGCCGGCAGAGGGGTGTGAGTGGAGTGCCAGTGGCCTGGACTTAAGATCTCCAAATGTCAAAGTCTCAGGAGGAGTCAGCTGTAAGTGGCGCAGGACCTCAACCCAATCTCGGGAAACATCTGCGGGCGCRGAGGCGGAGCTTCTGCCTTAAGGACGGAGGTGGGGACAGGGAAGGAAGCCTGCATTTCAGTCTCAAAAACGCCAAGGTCCTAAAACACCAAGATCAGGCCCTGGAAAGAGCCGGCATTAAAGGAGGCCAGACACAGGCACCGAGCAAACGCAGCACCTGGCCGGTCTGTCACTGCGTCCCGAACCCRGAAAGGCCAGAAAGGACCTGGCAGAGCCAGGTGACAACTTGGTGCTTCAGATAACGCACCGTGGATGAAAACTACTGAAATGGAAAACGCCACAGTGGTCACCCGTGTGTGTGGGGGGGTCTCGCCGCCTCTGAGACAGAGGTTCCATGACACCCAGCAGAGCACCCAGGGGTACGGCCCCAGGCGGTGTCACTTCCCCCTGTGATTCCCGAAAGGTCAGGTCTGCAGAGAGGTGGGCAGCGGGGTGGGGGAAGCTGCGGGCGAGGAGGTGATTCCCAGGGACAGGTAGGTGTTCCTCTTTCCACGAGTTATTTACATTCTTGCAGAGCTTGAAGTTTGAAAATATTTCCAAATGAAAGGTTAAAAAAAAAAAAGCCTCAGAACTATTTATTTCAGACAAAACCCACGCRTGTCAAACAGGTCCCAGCAGAGCTGTCTGCGGTGAGGCCGGCCTGGGGCCCAGCTGTCTGTGTCCCTTAGGCGGCCTCCCTGGGGTGCCTTGTGGGGCCCGGCTTGGAAACCACGAAGCGGTTCCCCTCCATGGTCTGGGAATGTGGGGAGCAGTATGCCTGCATCCTAGCACTCACACACATGCCCGAGAGGGGATCTGAGCCCATTTTGTAGGTGGGCAGACTGAGGCCCGGGAGGTCAGTACCCAGCGCCCTGGTGCCCAGGTGCTACCCGGCTGCCCGCCCTCCGCCCTGAAGCAGCAGCTGAGGAGTCTCGTCCCACCTGGGAGATGCCACCCAGGCTGCGCATGGCAGTGGGGGCTTAAGCCCAGGCCCGTGGATGAACCCCAAAGCCCTGTCCTTGTTGGGGGGCCTCCTCACAGGCAAAGGCRCTCAGGCCTGAGGGCGCGGCCCTGGCCAGCTGGGCGGAGATGAAATCGGGAACCACTGGATTCCCTGTCCAGCACTCAGCCAGCGGCGGGCAGGGAGCCCACTGTCCCCCGACAGGGAACCCACGGTGGGGGCTCTTCACACCAGCCTGATCCTGGCCTCACCTGCTGGCTCACTGCCTCTGTCCTGGGCCTCCCCGATCAGCCTTCCCTCCCCATCAGGCTGCTGCTCTACCTGTGCCCCAGCTCCCGCCTCCCAGCTCCCGACCACCCCCAGCTCCCACCCCCAGTCCCCTTTCTCCTCACCCCCCACCACCACCTGCTCTCCCTGGTTAGAAACCGGAGGCATTTGAAGGTCACACCACGTGACAGGGGTTTAAACAGAATCCCAGGAAGCCCCAGGCTCCTGATCAACCAGGACCCGCTGGGCATGGAACAGCCCCCTCCCAGCTGCAGCTGGTCCCTGACCGCCTCTGAGGCTCCCCAGTACCTTGGCCTTGACTCCCCCGGTCATGCTGCGAGGCCCAGGGGTGGACAACGTCCCTCACGAGACACCCGTCAGGGGGGGTGACACTCTAAGTGCTGAGTGCGGGAACCTGCTGGTGGGTGTGGCTGTGCCCCCCACAGGAGGACGTGAGGCGGGCACCTGTGCCACCTGAGGGGAGTGGGCCAGGCTCTTCCACATCCCCCCCAGCCCCAGGGCGGCTTATGGTCTCTGACGCTGACCCCAGCAGAGGGACCTCTGGGTCTGTCTCCTTCCTGGCTTGGCCCTTGCCGAGGCTGTCCCTCCATGCCACGCTGGCCACCCCGAGCCCACCCGCCCAGCTGCTGCAGAGCCGGATTGCTGCCCTGTGGAGGTCTGCCAAGCCTCTGGAACATTCCAGCCAGCCCTTCCCGGGCACRACGTTTTCCTGGAGCTCTGTCCTCCAGGGTTGGCCACGTGGGGCTCGCTGAGGGCTTGGGGTCTGCAGGCTCCCTGCTGACCCCGCCTGACTTCTTTGGTGCAGTTTTTAGGAGGGCCCTCGGTTGTGCTGGGCCTGTTCTCTGGCCTGAAGACTGCACAAGACCCTTGACTGCCAAGGCCAACGTCCACTCCCTGAAACTCCAGGCCACACCCTGGCTCTGCCATGGTCCTCTCTTTCTATCACATTCCCAAGGTCACAGTGAAGTGTCTGTATAGCTCCCGCTCAGTGTGGTGTCCACCCTGGGGGACACTATTCCGTCTCACAAGTGGGCAAGGGACACAGATAAGCACAACTCAAGAGTGACTCCAGCTTGTGCCAGGCCCCAGGGAGCTTTCCCGGGGTGAAGGGCCCTTGTCCCCCCTCCCCATTCCTCTACCAACAACTGCTCTCTGTTGGCCCCTGGCCCAGCTGGCTGCCCCTCTCCCGGGAGACAGAGCGCATCCCTGTCCTCCAACAGCCAGCAGCTGCCCACCCCGAGGCCAACGTCTGACAGGGCTTGTTTCCAGTATTCCCAAGCGACTGAGGTGGCTTCTGAACCATGAGGGCTCATTCCCCTCCCAGAAAAGCTGTCTGTGAAGGGGGAGGAAATCAGGCCCCAAGGGGTAAGGTGACCATTCACACAGGTAGCAGGTGAAGACCAGATTTTTTTTTTTTTTTTGGTACTAAGGATGGAACCCAGTGCCTAATGCACTCTGAGCAAGCTTTCTGCCTCCTAGCTACTTCCCAGCTCGGGACCAGGAATTTGAACCGGTTCTACACAGCTGTCGAGGTGACAGTTTTTGCATTCTCCATTACCATGACTGCCATGTATAGTTAGACATGTTGCTTACTGTACAAGGGGTGACTGGGGGATGATCCCCCCAGTGCTCTGTTCACTGAGGTGCACACCATGGGCGCCTGCTCTGGTCTGCCTGGAGGAGCGCTGTGGCCACGGTATTAGGAACCATCCCAGTGATCCCCCTCCCCCTCTGCACCCCAGCGCTGTGGTTTTGCAGATCCTGTCATCAAGAGGGGAAGTGCCTCACCCCTTGAGTCTGGCTCATCTTGTGAGTAAACAAGCTGGAGAGATGTGTCAGTGCGCCTGTGTGGGCTGGCTCTCCACGGGCCTCGCCTGGACCCCGGCCACGGCCACAGGTGCAAGCCTGGGTAACCTGTTGGCCATCCTAGACCAGCCCACCACCAGAGGGGCACTGCTGTCCCCAACCAGCAGGCCTTTGACTGGCCACCTGGCAGCCCAGCTGAGCGTGGCCAGCATCGCTGTTAGGAGGAATGGTGTCCCTTCCAAACTCACGAGGAACTAACTCGGTACCGAGAGCCGGACCTTACTTGGACGTGGGGTTGTTGGTTGCAGATACAATTAGCTCAATGAGGTCACTCTGGAGCAGGGACAGCCGCTCATTCAACATGACCCGTGACCAGGTAAAGAGGAGAAACCTGGGCACAGACACGCACACAGGGGACACCCAGTGCAGAAGGCAGAGCAAGCAGGAGGCAGGTGGGTGCCCATGCTCCGCGGCCTCGGGAACCGTGACCTTGAACTCCCAGCCCCAGCGCTGGGGGGGACAGCGCATCTCTGCTGTGGCCGTGCTCCAGCAGCCCCAGTGCCCGCCAGGGTGGCTCTCTCGCCTGCTCCAGGGCAACAGCCCATCACACCTTCCCTGTCCCAGGTCACCCCTGGGAGGTGCCGGATGCCCAGCCCTCCCACTACCGGGCCTGTGACCGTGGCCTGGCCGGGCCTACCTGGGCTGCCGAGGGCCATGGAGTCGTAGATGAGCTTGCAGGTCTTGAGCAGGGTGGAGATCTTCTTCTCGGGCGAGTAGGCCTTGTGCATGCTGCAGAGCTTCTGCAGGATCTTCTCCATGACGGGCACCTCGGGCACGCTGGTGGTCACGCCCAGGTCCGTGGTGGTGGTGGACAGGATCACCAGCTGGTTGTCCTTGAGCTGCTGCAGCGCGCCGTCCCTGGTGTGGATCTCGAGCAGGCTGGCGTCGATGGCCTCCTTCAGGGGCTTCAGCACGCACTTGTACAAGGCAGACTCCACGATGGCCTCTGCGGGTGGCCAGGGGGTGAGGGTGAGGGCACTGGCTGCAGGGACCCTGCCACCGGCCCTGCAGCCCTCCATAGCCAGGTCCCGGGAGGGACACCTCTCAGCCCAGCAGGTAGACCCCATGGTCCTGACAGGGGGGACGTGTAGGGCATCCATCCAAAAGCCACACTGCAGACACCGTGACTCAGGAGCCCCCGGGGAATAGTGTCCCAGGGTCCTCATATCCTAGCGGTTCCCTCAGAGCCTGGCACACAGACTGCTGGCCCTGTCCCAGCCTCTGGGTCAGCTCTGACTCATGTCCCCACTTCATTTTGGCTGGACTCTTAGCCAAAGGAGCAGCCTTGCCCGAGCAGCCCTGGGTCTGCCTGCCTCAGCTCTCCACCTGTGTCCACACTGCCTTCTCCCTGCAAGGAGGCCCACCACTCTCTCCACCGGGCACCCTTCTCCTGCTCCTCCCTTGGGCYCAGCTCCTCCTCCCCTATTTTGGAAGGCAGGGCTGATCACAGCTTGCTCCGGGCCATCTGGAGCCTGCCATGCCCTTCCACGTCCCCCGGGGCCTGGGATGATCTCACAGCCTCTCGGCTCTTTTTATGCTGACGGTTCCTAAACATCTACCTCCAGCCCACACTCTTCCCCAGAATTGCAGACTCAGGTCCCCGGGGCCTACCCAAAGGCCCCCTAGGACAATAAGTGTCTCCGAGGTCACATGTCCAACACTGATCTCCTGGACTTCTCCCTGGTGCCTGTCAGGAAGTGGCCTCCCAGGGACACCAGCGCCTGTCCTTGGCCTATCTCCTCTCTCCCCAACTCCCACGTCAGCCTGTCCTGCTTGGCTTCCCCAGCAGACCCAAATCCAAGTCCCGGCTCCACCTGCCCAGGCCCTACCCACTCCTGGCCACCCTCAACGTGCGCCTGGACAGTGACAGTAGCCTCGGAGCTGGCCTCGGCTCCCACTGGGCACTATGCCCCCAGTGCATATTTGAGGCCACGTCGCCCCCGCAGCCCCCTACCCGAGGCTTGACCTGCTGCAGGGGAAGCTGAGTCCTCGGGGAGGCGCCCAGGTCCTGTGTGACCTGCCTTCCCGGTGCCTCCTGCCTGCCCAGTCCCCTACCCCTTCCTCTATCCATTGCTCAGGTTTCCCACTGGTGGCTGGCCACCCTGCTGACCAGCAAGCTCCTTGAGGGCAGGAGGGGCTCCTGGCTTTTCCACTCTCCTGCACTGAGGCTGCAGTGGTGGGCCTCGCCCAGACTGCCCAGAGCTTCCTGCCCAGGAGGACCCCGCTCCCCAGGCCCCCGCACAAGTGCAAACACGGCACCAGCCTCAGACTTCCACCCCCCACGCTGGCAGCGCCCCAATCCGTGGCCTGGTGACTGTATCCATTCCCAGGAGTCGGGCAGCAAGGCCAGCCTCCGCAGGGCGGCCTCCAGCTTGGCCCTTTGTTATCAGGAAACACTCACAATGAACCGCCTGTGACGTGGAGTGCCCCGTGCCCCTTCCTGTGCCCAGTTCTGACCCTCTCATTACGGGAGGGGGCTGCGAGGGCTGGGGAGCCCGGGGGAGGGGACCCTGGAGGGCTGGGTAAGTGACCACTGCCAGGTAGCTTATCAGCAACTTGATGTCTTGGCAGCTGCTTTGGCCCCAGCAGTGTGACCTGACAGAGTAGTTCCAATGCTGATGTGGCTGCGAGGTTGATCGCAACGACCCCTGTTTCTCAGTGTGAGTCACAATTGACAGAGGGTTTGACAGCTACTGGACTAGAGGCTGGTGGGGCTGGGAAGGCCAGGGGGGTCACAGGAGTGAGCTGCCTGGGCTGGTGACCCAGAAACAGAGCCCAGGAGAGGGGTCTGGGCACCCCAGAGTTCTGTGGGACAGAGGGAAAGTGACCAGGGAAGTGAGGCAGTGAGGACAAGGTCTCAGCCCTAGTCTGGTCCCACAGGGTGCCCGGGAGCATCAACAGCACCACATGGTAGTCCCGCCTGAGGGAAGGGCCCAGTGTGCCCCCCCATGGTGGACGGTGGCTATTGGTGGCAGAAGGGGGTACAGGGAGGGTGGCCCCTACGTAATTGCAGTCACTGCTCTAGAAAAGGGTGGGCATACACCACTAGGAGCCACCTCTTGCAGTGGGTGCAGACAGGGACATGCACCCAGGAAAGGGGGTGGGGGACACCAAGTGTGCCCACCGCACAAGCCTCCTCTGTCCTAAGGGGCTGTGGGGTCTATGTGCCACGCCATCCTTCCCTTCCTCCCACCAGCTGCCAGCCCCTGCCCAGGCACTGACCAAGCTGCTCCTCTGAGTGCAGGCTGGGGTCCACTAGGGCCTTGAGCTCGGTGCTCTGCAGCAGGTAGCTCTTGAGCTGCGTCATCATGGTGCGGATCTCCTGCAGCATCTCGGTGCTGGACGTCTGGCGCGCCATCATCTCCGTGCTGTACACCCTGTAGTCCTGCACCAGGCTGCCGAAGTAGGAGCCCTTGTCCTGCGCCAGCTCCACCACCTTCTTGTACAGCTTGCGGTCGCTGGAGAGGAAGGCGTGGAAGACGCTGGTGAAGCTGACGAAGCTCAGCCGGTGCCGCGCCTTGTCCAGGATCATGGAGGGCTTCTTCTTCACGCTGGGGCTGCCGAACTCCAGCTCCTCCTCGGCGCTGCTGGTAGAGTAGGAGTCCTGGTCCGTGGCTGAAGCAGGCAGCCCCAGGTTCTCTGAGAGCGAGGCCAGGGAGCCCTTGAACCCCGCGGAGCTCTGGGGACTGGCGCTGGCAGGAGCATAGAGGAGCTGAGTCCCGGCCTGGGGAGCAGGACTCTGGCCTTCTCTGGGGGCACTGGGTGTGGGTTTCTCTGAGGCCACCTCCTGCGGGGGGTGCTCCGCGCTCTCCGAGGGACTGGGCAGGCCTTGGGCCAGCTGCCTGGAGACGCGCTTCTTCCTGGGGGGCGGGACCGGGGGTTGCCTGGCCTTCCTGGGAGGTTCTGGCTTGCTGCCCAGATCACTGGCTTTGGCCTCGGCCTCTGGGCCTTGCTCTGTGGTCCTTGGAAGTCTGTCCCCTGGGCTGCCTGATGTCCCCTGGGGAGGTGGGCTGAGTGGGGCTGCCCTGGAAAGCAYGGGTGGGTCCCCCTCTGCCACCATCCCTGCACTGTGGTCTTCCAGGGACACCCTGTCGGAGACGCGCCGTCTGGGAGGAGCAGCTGGAAGAGTCTTCTTCAGGGGCAGCGGAGGGGCCTGGGCCGGCTGCGAGGGGCTGGGGCTGGTCCTTGGCGTCGGCTCCTCTTCCCTGAGGGGGCCCAGCCCGGTGGCAGGTCGTGGGAACCTCTCACAGGCTGTCATGGGTGGCTGGCTCGGATGGTCGGGGGTCCCTGGGGTCCCTGGGGTCTGGGGGGCTGATGCTGCAGGAGAGCCGGGCAGTGGACAAGCCGGGCCGGCCAGTGTAAAGGGCCGGGCTGGGCCGGCGGGGTGCGGGGCATGTGCTGGGGGTGGTGGCGGCGGGCGGCAGGGGGCCCACTTGGAGGTGGGCGAGGTGGTGTCTGAGGCGGTATCCGAGGTGGCTGGCAAAGCCCGCGAGGGGCCGCTGCCCAGAGGTGGCAGGTCGCGGGGCAGGGTGCTGCCGCAGTCCTCGATGAACATGGGATTCACCAGCCAGAGCCGGTCGCTCCCCGTGGACAGCTCGATCTCGCAGGAGCAGTTCTCATAGCGAGCGGGGGGCCGGGGGCTGCAGGCTGCGGGGGCCCCGGGCCCGGGGTCTCTTGGGGGCTCTGCTGAGTTCCTGCGGCYTCGCTGGGGGTTGAGCGAGGAGTCCCAGAAGCCTGTGGGAAGCAGAGACGGGGAGGCCGTGAGTGCTCAGGTGGGTGGCCTTTGCAGGCMCAGGGGGCAGGGCCCCGAGGCCGTGGAGGCGGCTGCTTCACTGTTCTGGCTGTTTCCCACCTTGGACTCTTAAACTTCTCCCCACTTCCTGCCTCGAGGGGAAGCCCCGGCCACCCTCCCCCGCAGAGCTGGGTGGGGCTGGGGGGATGTGACAGGCCCAGCTTCAGTTCCGTCCCTTGATGTGACAGCCCACACGGAGGGCAGCGGGACCCAGGGTGGGGGTGACAACGGCCACGCTCCAGAGCCAGGCCAGCAGAAGGCTCCCGTGGGGAAGGCATGGTGCAGACGGGGTGGGGGGACAGAGGCTGGAGTCCTGCAGCTGCCCAGTTGGGTGCTCTGGGGCAGGTCGCTTGGCTCTCCCGGGCCTCATCCTGGTCACCTCTAAGAGGATCTCAGCAGTGCCCACATCACTGGGACGCAAGAGAGGACACTATAGGTCCTGGGAGGGGACTTGGCCTGTTTTGGCCATCGTAGTTGATACGGGAAGAAGGAACCCGGGGATCGTGGCCCATGGGATCAGAGCCAGCCCRTGGAGAGTACCTGATGCTGCAAACCCACCACACTCGGGGCTCTTGAAGTTGACCGAGAAGCTGGGACCGGGCCCCGTGGGGAGCAGCTTGGCCAGCAGCGGCTCTGGTRCTGAGTGGGGCCCAGCACTGCCGACAGGCTGAGCCCCGCGGGTTCCGCAAGTGCCCGCAGTCAACGAGGCAGGCCTGGCTCGGGAGTCCCTGACCTCTGGGGGCCACACCGTCAAGCTTCCAGGAATGCTCAGGACTCTCCCCAGAAGGGCATGGGGACACACCTTGAAAACAATTTCAGTTGGCAGACAAGCCACCCCGAGCTCACTCAAGCAGTTCCTCCTTCAGAGGAACCTGGGACCCAGGTCCTGCTCAACATGCAGATTGTAGGAGGACAGAGGGGCTGGCCAGGCCGACCAGGATTCCTGTGAAAGCTGGAGGTGGCCCAGCCTGGCACTGGGCTTCTGCCACCTGGGTGAGATTCATTCATAAGAAAGCCACACAAGGAGGTTCTGGTGTGCGACTGTAGAACAGGATGGTCACAGATAACGACAACGTGCCGTGAATTTCACAAAGCTAACAAGGAATTTGAGTTTTCACCATAAAGAAATGATAAATAAGGAAACTGGTGTGTTTTGATCTGAATTAAACCTTACAGTGTATCGCTGTGTAACCGAAGCCTCACTCGGTGACCCATCGATATGTATAATTTCATGCTTTTATGTATCAGTTAAATAAATTTAATGTTAAAAAAGGAAAAATAAGACCACGCATCACAACACCCAGGGAGTTGTTGACGTGTCCAGCGGGTGGGTGGCTGGCTTTCCCTGGATTATCTCCACACYCTGACGGCAGGCCTTGTTCCCATTTTRCAGATGAAGATAAGAAACTGGACCAAAGCTCTTGCTGGAGGTCACAGAGTTGGTGAGTGAGGGAGCTGGGATTGGAAGGGGCAGACCAGCTCTGAAGCTTCTGTTTGGCCACCATGTCACGCAGCCTTTCTTCATAGGAACTTGCGACACTTCCCCTCTCGGTTGCTCTCCAAGCGCTGGTGAGTGGCAGGTGGCTTGCACCCCAGAGCTGGGGATGTGGTAAGAACACAACGGCCTCTTGGCATTGACAGTAAGGACATATGGCTGGATGGTGGGTGGGGGCCGGGGCAACAGTGTGTGCCCACTCTAAGACATGGGCACATTCAGGGACATGGTCCTTGACAATCCTGCTGGCCAGGGTCAAGGTGAGCAGCGTGCATTCCAGGACACAAAGTCAGCTGCCTCCGCCAGGCRTGGGTACCCCTTCCTGGAGGGGAGTGGGGTTCACTGCTCAGCCCTGCCCAGGGCAGAGACCCTGTGTAATGGCCACCAGCCAAGAAGGCCAGCAGTCACCACCATAACAAGATGACAGACGTCCATCGTCCCTCCAGCATGCAAAGCTCTGTACATCACAGCCACAGGATACGTCTGTCCAAGGCAGGCTGCCCTGTGTCAGGGCCAGCTACTCTCCATGATTGCCAGTCCTTGCTCTGCTTTCCTGGGCAGCTGCCATCCCCTCCAGGGTGGTCTCACTCCCTGGGTGCTTTGTGTTGAGACTCAGATGCTCTATGAGGTGAGCACTTCTGCACAAGCTCAACACAAGTGTCTCTTTGGAACTTTCCAGAGCACCAAGCAGCAGGTGGCCAGCCTGACTCAAAGGTAACTGGGGCAGCAGCCCAAGTTCCCCCAAGACCCTTCCTTTGGTGAAGGTGGATGTTGGCTAGAAAATGCCCAGAACTGCTGGCCAGGACCAGGACCCTCCCATCATTGCTTCCTACATCCTTCAAGCCTGTGGTGGGTTGCGGTTCTGGCCCCTGTATCTCCTTTCTAAAATCGTCTGCTGAGTCTTCACCCCACTCCTTGTGCTGGGGTGTCATGGACAGGCCACGTGCTGCCTGACTCTGTTCCTGTGCTGCTTGGGATTCTTTGGCCACCCTTTCCACCTGATCAGCTCTTGCTCATCCTTTATGGTTCAGGTCACATGGCACCTATCTGGTGGAGGCTTCTGGATGCATTCACTTGGCTCCTGTGTCCCCCAGCTCTGAGTGTGCTCTGCAGTGACCACTGAGCTACAGTTCTTCCCTTGTCTGACGCCCCACCAGGCACAGACAGCACCTGCGCCTGGCCCACCTGCACATCTTTAGTGGCCAGGGCAGGGCTCGGCTTATTAGCTCAGCCAGTGTGGAGGCAGGGTCCAGGGGAGGGGATACAGGAAGGGTCAGCTCTAATGGTAAGGTGGGACAGCCTGAGGCAAAGGGGATGAGGAGATGAGAGAGTGGGCGRGGGGGGCCAAAAGGAGGGCATCCGAGCTGTACGTGGGTGGACCGCCCGCAGCATGGCCTGCCCAGGAGAGCAGGGCGGGCTGCCCTATGCAGAATAAGAACACGCTTCCCTCAGTTCATCTGGATTCCTGAAGAGCAGAGCAGACACTGGGTTTCAGGGGAAGGGCTTAGGGCCCAGGATGCTGCTTTCCTGTCCCTGGTGGTTGCAAGTGGCAAGGCACAGACCTCCAAGCCATTGCCGCTCCAGGGGAGAGGGGATGTTGGGAGCTGCACTGTGGGGTCTGGGCCCCGTGAGGGAAGCGCAGCCGCAGCACAGGGTTTTATGCTAAAAAAAAAAAAAAAAAAAAAAAGGAGTAGTAACTTTCTCTGCAACCTGCAAAATGCCAAGGCCAGAGAAGAGGAACATAGTGTCATGCAATCCTAGTGGTTGGCAGCGCTGCGTGCGCCAGTGCCCTGGGCACCGTGCCAAGCTGTGGAAGTTCCCAGAAAGGGCCCATCCCTTTGCTGCCTCTCTTCATCCCTCCAGCCAAGGCTGCCATTTCGCTGGCCTGAGCCTCCTGAGCCTCAGTGAGGGACGTCTCTTGTAAAGTGTCCTTTCCTACAGTCCTCAGAGGGCCAGGCTGAGGACCTGACAGCAAAATAWGGCTCCACCCTTGGGGACACCTGAGCCAGCAGCAGGACAGAMGGAGATGAATGAACGCAGCAATGTGCCCCAAATGCCATCAAAACAGCCCTGAAGCCCAGGGAGTTCAGGGAACATATATTTTGGGGGCCTCCCAAAGGTGGGTTGTTGGCTAGTCGTTCAAGTTTCCAAAGAATATTTAATAACTAGGRAAATTCTCATTGTATCATAAGGAAAAAGCAAGTTACAAGCAAACATGGGTGAGCTAGAGAACATAATGCTTTTCCTGAATGTACTTTTAAAATATTAAACATATATATTGCAAATATGTTTGAGAACCACTGCCTGAAACCCTTATTCCCCGAGTTCCTTCTGCACTTAGAATCAACTGTGTGCAGTTCAGAGCTGAATTACTCCCTAGGCGGGTTTTGTAGCCCCAGCTAACCTGACACTCTTGAAGTCCAAGATTACACCTTATATAGCCTGCACTGTCGAACGCTGGCTTTTCCCAGTCCAAACTTGGACTTCCTGACGTCAGCTCAGGAACGAACATTCTGAGCCGTCACATGAAGCTGAACCTGCAAGCAAATAGCTCTGTTTCAGCAACATCATCCCTGTCTAAACAGCAGGGCTTATTCTACCCACCTAAGAAAATGAGTTGAACGTCAGAGAAAGAAAATAACTGATACTAAAGATAAGGAAGACATGTGCCTCAAAACACTTACGATCCCAAGATCGTCAGATGAGCTAAAAGTCTGACAGATCTTTATGCTGAACTAAACACCCCCTCACACTGGGTCTAGGACAAAACAAACCCAAAAATCACAAAGTACGATCAAACAGAACAAAATCAAAAGGCAAGTCATAAAACCGTACTTTCTGCAAAGGCTGACGGGTTATGTATGGTTTTCATTTTCATGTTTATCTGGGGTTGCCAGTTAAAAGCAAATACAGCAAGCTAGGCTTTTTTTTTTTTTTTTTTTTTTTTTTGGTACCAGGGATTGATCTCAGAGGCCCTCAACCACTGAACCACATCCCTAGCCCTTTTTTATATTTTATTTAGAGACAGGGTCTCACTAAGTTGCTTAGCACCTTGCTTTTGCTGAGGCTGGCTTTGAACTCTCGATCCTCCTGCCTCAGCCTCCCGAGCTGCTGGGACTATAGGCGTCCGCCACGGCACCCAGCGGCATGCTAGACATTTATGGGAAAGCTATGGGGGAAAACAGCGGTGTGGACAGGGTCTGACGCAGAGGGCAGGGCTGTCTCCTGATGCCACATCCTGGCCCTACAGCCAAAGGCCGCCACGTTGATTTCCACTGGGGAAAGGCCAGGGAGGGCAGTGCTGAGGGGCTGGGGGTGACCTGGCCGAAGACCGGTGGCAGGGGTCAGACACAGCTGAGTTCCTGCTCAGAAAGCCCAAGGGTGAGTCCAGCCCCTGCCTCGCCCTAGTGTGGAAAGCTTTTGTGGATTTTTGTGTCTCCTTAAGAGCTTTCCTGAAGTGTCACTCACATAACTACCCACTTAAAAAAACACCCCAGTGGCTTTTAGTCTATCCACAGGGCCGTGCATTGTCACCACAATCCATTTTAGAGCATCTTAACCCCAGGGAGCCTCCATACGGACGAGCACATGTCCCCATCCCCTGGCAGCCATTGACCTGCTCCTGTCTCTGTGGATCTGCCGGTTCTGAACACTTCAYGAGGACAGACCCGGGCCACCTGTGTCCGCTCCCTTCACCCAGCATGTGTSGCCAAGGTTCATCCATGCTGCGTCCGTCCTGCGTCAGGGTTTCGCTTCTTTTTCCAGATGAATAAGCCCTTTAGACTCTCTGGGTTTCCATTTGCCTCATCAGTAAAATGGGTTTTATGTGGATAAATGAAATAACAAATGTGCGCACCTGTGTCCATGAATCRTCCTCCCACAGTCCTCTTGGTTTTCCCTGAAATGCTGACTATACCACGGAACTGTCCCCCTCTCCCCCTCCACATTATGTGGCTGGCCACTGGTCATCTGAATATTCCCTGGAGAACCTGCATGAATAGCAATGGCCAGAGGGGCTGGGGTCAGGGCCTGGCCAGTCAGAGGACAGAGGGAGCAGGACTTGAGCAGGCCAGGGGGCCACAGGCAGAGAGCAAGGGCAGCGGCTGTTGCCCCCCAAGCCCAGAGACTGTCCACCTTCCCTTCTGGGAGATTCCTTGGTACTCTTCTCTCTTTTTACCCATGCTACTTTGAGGGGGTTTGTTCTCTGCTGCAAGAATTCCTTGCCTAGAATAGCACGTGACATGCTTAGCACAACCCCAGGGTGCCTGGCCCTTGCAGATGGCATGCTCTGCTTATTTAACACCTGGGCCACCCCTGGGCCACATTCGAGGGCTGCTGAGGCTCAAGCCTGTGAAGGCCAGGGTCAGGGCCAGTCCTGACACAAAGGACCCCTTCAGTTCTAGGTCCCCTTCCACTCAGGGCACAGACTGGAATATTAGTCTTTCCTTGGCTCTGAATCTGGGCCAGCTTTCAGCACCTGGGACACTCTGTCCTTCAGCATTTGGGGACACTAGGTCTGAACAGTGCCCTCCAGATTCTAAGCTGCAACACATTGGGGTTTCACGTAACTCCCATTCTCCAGGAARCAAGAGCCGGGGGTGCATCTGGGCTGCCCTGGGCCTCCACCAAGCCCCCACTGGGGCCTCCTTTCTGCACTCCCACATGGTTTCCGGGGGCAGGTTCTCTCAGGAGATGCTCATCTGTACCAGAGGAGCAGCTTGCTTCAAATCCAGAGTGTTCTGAAGTCTTGGGGAAACCAGGCTCTTGCCGGCAGAGAGGAACCTGCAGGAGTCTCCAGGCACGCAGGCCCAGGGACGCTTGCCTGGACCCACAAGTKGGGTCAGGGGTGCAGCAAACCTACCCTGACGGAGGTCATGCCACTGCAATGTGGCCACCGACTGCTCCTTCCAACAGCCACAGAGGGGGTTGCGACGTGTGCRGTGAACTGTGGGAAGGACTCTCAGTGCCAGTCCCACCCAGCTCTGCTCTGTCCTTTCCAGGCCACCTGGGCAAGCCCCTCAGCTGAGCTAAAACTTGCCCTTCTACTTTTAAATTGTATTTTATGTCTTTAAAATACACAAGGGTCACACAAACCAGTGTTGGCCGTGGTTAGAAAGTATCAATAATGTCATTCTAGACCTTGGGGTAGGTCATTTGGATTGTGCTAATTGCAAAATTGTCATCTGTCCTACACCCAAGCTCCCGGGAGGGCAAAAGCCCAACAACTGAGATATCTGTGGGAGCAGGGAAGGTATGGAGCTCAGGGTTGACTTCCAATGTCAACTGAAAGCTGGCCCCAGAGTTTATACACCGGGTGACTCTGCCCAGCAGCAGGTTCTGGGTGGTCACTGGCAGTGTGAGATGGAGGGAGGTGCCTGCGTTCAGCTGCCTGGGTTCAAGTTCTGTTGCGCCAGGTGCTGTGACATTGGATGTGCTATTTGACCTCTTGAACCTTAGTTTCCTCTGCCACAAAATGGGGATGATGACAACAGTCTTGACCAGGCTATTTGGAACTGGGATGAGTCACTGCAGCTCAAGAGGTGAGGACACAGTTRATGCTGATTGGCTGTCAACTCCAGGTTAGACAGCCAATGAGAGGGCAGATCCAGGAGGAGGGGCCAGACCTGGGGTCAGACAAGACCCTCCCTGGGTTCCCAGGCCAGGCTGCTGTCTACCACTCAGCCGTCCACTGTCCACGCCTCTGGACAGCAGTATAAGAGATGCCAGCACATGCTGTGGTCAGAGGCCAGAGTCTGGTGGCCAACTCTCTGGCCACCACCCAGAAAGGCCTTGGTGTTGCCCAGCTGTCCCAGGGCCATGGCCTGACATGAGAGGCTGTGCCCTGGGTCCTCCTGGYCAGCTGTCCAGGATGGGGTGGTCTCATGAGCTGGAACTCCAGGTCCAGTTTGGTCTCACCGAGGGGCCCTGTTTCCTCACCTGCCACCTGCTTTCCTGGTTCCATGGGGAGCACTTACCCAGGCCCAGGTTGGAGATGGTCTCGAGGTCTGTGAAGCTGCTGGCCTCAAGGATGGCCTGGGGCAGCCGCAGTGTGAAGGGCAGTAAATCTCTGTGAAGACACAAGGGGCCACAGGTCACGTCTGGGGAGGGGTCTTTGTGTCCCTCCCCCTGATTTCTCAGCCAAAGATGCAGCCCACGTGGGAGGAGCCCTGCATCTCAGCGGCTGGGTTCTCCATTCAGACCGGAAACTTCCCTGAGCCGAGGCTGAGGCCAAGGGGCATTCCAGCAGATCCAGGTCCTGCCGCCCAGGAACCTGGAGATGTGGGAGAGCCCAGGTGGGCGGGGCTGGCTCTCCCTGCTTTCCCTGGTCTAGGTTTCCTCTAAAGGTGCCACCCAGGGGAAAGGGCTGATCCCCCCACCCCCACCCCGTGCTGCCCTTGGACCCTCTGCTCCACATGGGGTCATGCTGCAGGAGCAGCCAGGAGCCCCGCTCAGCACGCAGCAGCTGGCTCTACCCAGGCCTGTGGTCTGAACGGGGGTGTCAGGGCTCCCTCCTGAGATCTGCAGAGGAGATTCAGACAGACGGGAAACGGAGGCCCAGAGAGGGAAAAGGATAGGTCAAGGTCGCATGGCGGACCCCACACTGCTGACTTCCAGCCCAAGGCTGTCCGTCTGGGTGGGGGGGGCGGGGCTGTGGCACTGCTGGGGCCAGGCTGGGTGGTCCCACCTCTATGCCCACTCCATGGCTCAGGGCTGTCAGCCCCCTTTCCAGCTCGTCCTGCTCTCCTCCTGCTCTCCGGCTGCCCTAAGGCCACTTCCTGCCCCCTGAGGATGGGAATCATACAGGAAGGAGAGGACGCAGGACAGGACCTGGAGACCCAACAGCTGCCATGAGGATCAGCCTTCTGCTCCSGCTCCTGGCTCAAGCCCTGTCCTCCAACACTGAAATCCCCCCACCCTTCTCCAAGGAGAGCCTCCCCTGGTGGCTCCTGGCAGGATGGGGCAAYGGCCCAGGTCCCCATGCCCTGCAGGCTGTTTGTCATCGGTCTCATGCAGACAGGTACTGCACGGGAGAGAGCGGCACAGAGACTGGGGGATGGGCTGGCAGGTCCCCAGACACTCCTGAGCCTGAGGTGTGGATGCGGCTTCGGGGTGGGGTGGGGGGCTGGAAGTGCTTGCACTGGGAGTCCATTCTGTGGATGGAAATGATGAGCGGAGCCTGGCGGGAGGTCCCGGGCCTGCTCTCAAGGTCATGGTGTGTCCCACGGAACAGGCCTCCAGCTGATCCTTGCAGCTCCTTCACTGTCATTGTGGTGTGACCCTCTAGGAAGCCAGAGGCCGCCTAGGCCCCCTGTCAAGGGCCCCATTCTGGATCCCGCAGGGTTCCCGATGCTGTCCCGTCTCTATGGCCTGCAGTGTATGTACGACGGTCCGCAGAGGTCACCCAGCTCGGTGCTGCCCGCCGCACGCCGGGCATTTTTCACTTCTCTCTGTCCTCAGCCCCTGCTGCAGAGGCAGGGGTGCCTCAAACCCCAYGTCCAGGGCCTCCTGGTCTGGTCCCTGTGCCATCTCTCCAGCTCGCCCCCAACATCTGCAAGGGCCTCCCGCTGCCTCCCAGGAGATCATGCTCAATGTCCCACAGCGAGCGCCACTGGCCCGCTTCCCACTTCTGAGCTGGCACGGAGTGGGGACAGCAGCCCGTCCCCTCCACTCACATGTGCTTAGATTCTACGAGTCCCTCAAGGCCACACCAGGACCTCTTCCTCCCCCCACGGTGGCTGCTGAGGGTTTCATCCATCTCTGCTTCCCCTCCGACACCAGTTCAGCACTCCACCCGTCACGGCCTCCCATCCAGGAAGGGCACGTGCAAGGCGTGGGTGTCTGCTGAGCGCCTCTGTGGGCAGGCGCTTTCCAGCCTCATGCCCCAGGATACCATTCTACTATGTCACAGCGACCGGTCGGGAAGGCGGGAACCCCTGTGCTACAGTTGAGGATGCAGAGGTTCCGAGAGGTCAAGAGACTTGCCCAAGCCCACCCAGCCAATTCACAAGCCACTTACATTTTTTTTTTTAAGAGAAAAGGAACTATCATTAATGGAGTTTTCAGATGTTATCCCACTTCATCTTTACAACAATCCATGAGGTAGAACTATTATCATTTTTTTTTTTTTGTCAGTACTGGGGATGAAGCCCAGGGGTGCTCAGTCACTGACCTACTTCCCCAGCCCTTTTTATTCTTTTGAGATAGGATCTTGTTAAGTTGCTGAGGCTGGCCTCTAACTCGCAGTCCTCCTGCCTCAGCCCCCACGTTGCTGGGATTACAGGTGTGTGTGCCACGCCTGGCTCATCTCCAAGTTTTAAACTGTTAGATTTCTGTTTTTCTTTGCAGCACTGGGGACAGAACCCAGAACCCTGCTCATGCCGAGCATATGCTCTATCACTGAGCTACACCCTCAGACCTAGATTTCATTTAAATTAGGAAAGAAACATATTCACTGTAGTGGAGTTAAACAATACAAAAGTGCTTCAAATAAAATGAGCAGGTCCTCCCCTCGTCAGAGTCTCAATACCAACTCTTGGTGTACATGTGTGCCCTCCTTTGTCCTTCTCTGTGCATTTACACACAAAAAAATGGCATTACATTATTCATATTCTCTGCAGCTCCCTTGCACAATGGTAAAGCTGCAGCAAGAGAACATTTCACAAGTCCATACATGTATACTGACCTTTTTTTTTTTTTCTGTGCTGTGGAGTATTCCAATATGGTCACCGCTATTTTCTTCTTTTGATGGACATTTAAGCTTTTTTTTTTTTTTAATCTCTCTTTTGTTAATGCTAACACAGCACTTGCCCTGCACCCTGGTGCTCTTCTAAGCACTTTACATAGACAAGCTTTTCAAATGTTTCCAACAGCTCCACAAAGTAGCTCCTATATCCATCTCATAGCTAAGAAGACTGAGGCACAGAAGGGCTTAGTGCTTGCCCCCATCCCACAGCTGTTAGTGTCAGTACCTGAACTTGAACGCAGGCAGACTGGCTCCAGGGTCCAGGGTCTCAGCCCCCAGACTCCACTGGCTTTTAGCACAGAAGTGATTTCCAAATTTTCACAGCATCACACAACCCTGGGAAGAGCAAGCCCCACAAGTGACCCTTCTGCCCAGGTGAGTGCTTCTATGGGGTAGATCCCTGGGGGTAGGCCTGCTGGTCACACGTATGCATTTAAGAAATGACAGAGTTTGCCAAGTGGACCCTATTCCTCAAGACTGTGCCAACTTATACTTCAACAAAAACTGTCCCAGGCTAACAGTGCAGCTGGCTCCTCCCTCCCCAGTTCTGACCAAACCCACTCCTCTACCCTGCCCTCGGGGGGCCTTAGTGGTGTCTTCTGCTCAGTGGCATCACATTGCCCAGGTTGGAGGGTGTGAGGGGGAGGCAGGCTCAGAACTGGCTGAGATGCCTGGCTCGGTCACCCCAAATCCAAGTCCTCAGGCCTTGGACAGTGCCAGGACAGCCCTGCAGGGGCAGTGGGCAGCTGCTAAACCCTCATCGACAAGCAAAAACCTCAAAGGCCTAGACACTTTGGAGGGACCTCACTGTGTCCTAGACACCTGTCCACACTCTGCAGATGGCCAGCGTTGGAATTCCCCAGGGAGCTACGGGAACTGTGGATTCCCATACCCGAGCCTGAGGGTGCCCAGCATCAGGTCTGGGGACAAAGCCACGAGTGTGTGTGTGTGTGTGTGTGTGTGTGTGTGTGTGTGTGTGTGGTGCTAGGGTTTGAACCCAGRACCTGGCACATGCTAGGTGAGAACATGATCACTGATCAGTCACTGAATCCATGTTTTTAAACAGCTCACAAGGGGGTCCTAAGGGGCACTGCCTTGGGTGGGGAAGACATGGGTGGGAATCAGGGACCTTAAAGCAAAGGTATCAAGAAATATCAACACTAAGCAAACTTCCAGGTGTGTGCGTGTGTTTCCTCCTAAACTATCAAGTTTATTAAAAAGCACTCATGAAAATAGAAATTAAAAATGGGATTTTCAGAATGAACGCTCTAACATTTCTCTCACACTGTGGAGGGTCAGCTGGGGACCCTCCAGGTGCCAACACCCTGCTGTGGAGACCCGTGTTGCAGCTGGTGCCTCTCACTTTCGACCAGGACTGTGTTAGGGGTGCCTCTGACATCACAGAGCAACGTGCCCCGACCCATGCACACTCTCACAACTAAAAGTTTGGCAACACATACTGTTTCAACCCCGCGAGACACACTCTGTTCTAGCCCAGTTTCCTTTCTCCTTAAAAGAAAAACAGCTGAGCAGACCCACCAGGCTGGCTTCCTAACCCCTTAGAGGGGTTTATAGCACCATCCACCTGAGCGCCTGGCAGTACGTTTGATTCTGATGCTAAGTACCTGGGCTAAAGTCAGACTCTGCAGATTTCAGGGTTTGGTCCTGTTAAGACCCAGCCCCAATTTCTGATGCCATTCTCAAATCCTGGGCCACCAAGACTTCTGAGCAACTGGTCATCAACCAGAGGTTTCCAGGCGCAGTGACAGTAGTGTTCTCCAAAGGTGTCATCAGGACAGAACCCCCACATCTCCCGGTCTCCCCCACGCCTCCTCTCTGCTCTGCAGTGGCTGCCCCCACCCCTCTTGGGCAGGGCCTCCCTGTAGGGCCTGGATGGCTGCAGTGGCCCCTAGCTGGTCTCCACATATCCCTCCCTCCCCGTGGAGCCTCTCCTGAGCTGATTTCCCCTGCCCGGAATCCTCTTCCTGCCATCCTTGGCTGGCCTCCCATGTCCCCTCCTCCACAGGAGGACCTCGMGTCTCCAGCTATGGAGGGAGGGGCTGCAGGGGGCAGCACATGCATCCTTTCAGCCGTGACCTGGGTACAGCAGGTTCTGTTCACAGAAGCAGTTGGGCGCAGGAGTCACACAGATTCAGTTCAAACCCAGCTCGGAACTCTCTGTGCCACCCAGGGCCAGCCACACCCCGCCTCAGTTCCCTCACCTACGACAGCAATGAGAACTTGCTCGATTGTTTCCTGGGTGCTTGGTGCCAGTTGCTCTGCTGCCCCTCTCAGAGATCCTAGGGGCAGGAGTCCCTGTGCTGTCRACACTGCTGTTGCAGGGCTTAGAAGACCTCTGTGGGCAGTGCCCGGCACAGAGCCAGATGCGATGCAGATACCCAATCCCTGGGGGCTGGTTGTGGGGTCCTGCCAGCATCCCCCACCCCAGCCCTGGGTCCTTTCACCAGCTCTGCACACCTGCTGCCCAGCCACGATGGGGCTTCTCCTGAGAGGGGGCACATGGGACCCTCGGGGCTCATTTTGGCATCCTGGAGCCTCATGATTGCCTGGGAACAGCCGCAGCTRCAGCTCCAGGAGCCGGCAGGGTGGCCGGGAGTAGAACACTCAGTCCTGTTGTCCTCGGGTGGGGCCGTCCCGAGGTCTACTGTGGAGCTGCCCACGGGGTCAGGCTGAGGCTGGGGTTGCCTTGCTGTGAAATGGGGATAAGGGGAGCTCCGTGGGGAAGCTCGGGGAYTGCTGGCAGGATGTCAAAGATGAGTTTAGAACGAGCTCGCCCAGGGCTGGTGGCCTGGCGAGCGCCCCCATGTGGCAGCTGTTGACGTCGGCTGTTACGGCAGGGCCTGCCCGTGGGGCCCAGGGGTCCTGACAGGTGGGTGGGGAAGGTTGCAGGTGGAGCACAGGTTTCGMGGGAGGCAGCTTGGAGTCCTGGGCTGCTTTTGGACACCGACACATCAGCCCCACCTCTGCACCCAAATGTATTTTTAAATCTTGTTGGTCTGAAACCAGTTCTGAATGAATGGCGCTGTACTGAGTGTTGACACCTGCTCCACCCAGCAGCTGCGTAGTAACCAAAACGGCCTCCGTGAAGAGGCTGCAGTCCCTCTCACTAGATGAGGGCCATGCAAGACTCCACGCTGCCCTGAYGCTGGTGAYACTGGGMGTYGGGGRCCCGAGGGCAGGGGTGGTGAGGTGCACTCTTAGCAGCTGGTCCAGGAGAGCACCGGAGCTAACACCTCTGCCTTGTGTTTATCCGGGCAAAGCCAAGGGACTGTCCCCTCTCTCTGCATCCTCTGGGCCACACCCTTGCCTCTGGGGCTTCTCTGTGATCTCCCCTCTGCTTGACATGGACACCAAGGCTGCCTGGGCTGTCTCCAGCAACCAGATGGGGCTTGCAGCAGATGGACATCTGTGACAGTCCACCCTTAAAACGAGGAGGGAAAGACCTTCCTCAGGACCTCCTGTGGGGCGGGGTCTACTCACCTACTGACACAGTAGAATGCGACCAGTCTGAAGATGTCCTCAAACACAAGAACGGAGCCTTCCAGGTACAATACTGGGGAGAGATGAGAAAGGCCCCGGTGAGTGTCCACCAAAGACCAGCGGAGCAGGAAGTGGTGACTCCTCGARGGTGGACGGGGATGGCGCATGCCTGCCATGTTCATGGTGGGCCCTGGCACCTCCCACRTGCCTGTCCCTGACAGCCCCACACACAGCGCTGCTCACGGAACCTTAAGTGAGAAATGGGATTCAAGGTTCAGGAGATACCTATTATCATAGCTGGTGATGACTAATACACACCCATCATTTTTGGCAAAATACACAGAAGATTCTAGATTGCAAAAGCAGAATGAAGCATGTAATTAATGAGCGTCCTCCCCAGGAATAGCCTAGAGTTGGCAACTCTGAGGACTATGGGGGAAGGGACGCTGCCCAGTTCTGCCCCCCAGGAGATGCTGTGATCCAGGGGTGCTGAGGTGGGGCCAAAGTCCCCAGGACTTATTACCACCAAACCTGATTGGCCCTGGTATTTTACAGCCCTGACTGGCAAGAGGGATGGAAACGCTTGGCCTGGGATCCCATCTGAGCAGGGGCAAGGTGCTAGGGTATGGCAGAGGGTGCCTGGGGCTGGGGATGGACTGACTGGTGGAGAACAAAGGACCCTGTTGTGCCCTGCTTCCAAGCCACAGGCCAAGGGACCCAGAGAAGCTCAGTGGATTGTCGGAGTTCTCCTGGGCCACTGGTGGTGCCAGCAGCACCACCCYGTGACACCTAACTCTCACACCGTGTCCCACAGGCTCCATGGGTGATTTGAACTTCTCTGGACAATCGTGGGGTTGAAGGAACACGTGAATGTCACAGGCGTTACAATTCTGAGCTCCTTCCAGCTTCCGTGAGAGGCAGGGGGAAGGCAGAAGCCAGCTTCTGGGCCTGGCAATGTGACTCCAAGCATGTCCCTTTACCTCTCAGTACCTTAGTTCCTCTTCCTGCAAAGGGACAGAGCCCTTCCAAAGACACACACATCTAGGTGATGCCAGTTCTCAAAGTCTGGGACAGCACTGTGGTATGCTGGAGGTCTGGAGATGGTGACGGGCTGCACACACCAACGTATTCTGTTTGAATGGCTTCACTTCTGTATTTGCTTTCCTGCTATATACTAAACACTATTCTCAATAGTTCACATGACTTTGGTGGGGGGGGTACTGGGGATAGAACCCAGGGGTGCCACATCTTTAGCCCTTTTTTTTGAGTTGGGGTCTCACTAAGTTGCTTAGGGCCTCACTTAGTTGCTGAGACTGGCCTCAAATTTGCTATCTTACTGCCTCAGCCTTCCAAGCTGCTGAGCTTACAGGTATGTAAGTTCACATAATTWAAAAAAATGTACATTTATCTATTTATGGTGAAGAGACCATATTTTTCCATTAAATCAGATAAAAACATTCGACAAGACAGTTTCAAGAGCTGCCAGCACAGGAAGGATTTGGAGAATGCCTGCAAATGACCCAGGTCTGAGAAACTCTAGCTCACGGTGGATTCTCACTGGTRGGGATGTGGGGGTGGCCCCAGGGCGCCCAGCACCACCTAGTGCCTGCCTCTGGTATGTCACCAACCCTCTCCACAGTGGTCAAGGGAGGCAGGGCCCAAAAGACCCCTGTGGCAGCAGGAGGTAGAGAGGCTGCTGCATCCGGAAAACGGATGAGACAGTCCCTCCTCACGGACCCCTCAAGGGGGCACAGAGCCCCGCCTCACGTACCTGGGTGCCCCACGGTTAGCAGCTCTCCCTGGCCAGGAGCCAAGGGCTGACCTGACGCTGGTGACACTGGGCGTTGGGGGCCCGAGGGCAGGGGTGGTGAGGTGCACTCTTAGCAGCTGGTCCAGGAGAGCACCGGATTCCTCCAGGACCAGGGTAGCCACCCCCTGCTGGGACTTCTGGCACTTCACACAGAGCCTGCCCCCTGTCTCCACCAGCAGTGCCCGTGGCTTTAGACTTGGTTCCCCAGCCTCTGCTCTGGCCTCAGCTCTCACGCAGAGATCAGCCCTCCCTGGGTTCTGTAGCATAGAGGCCAGCTTGCAGTGTCACTGTGAAAACTGTAGACTGTAGAACCACAGCAGTGGGTGTGGCTCCTGCTCCTCTCTGTCAGCTGGACTTCCTTTTCCCCAGCCCCTGCCCCTGCCCCCAGCCCTAGTCCCCAGCCCCTGCCCCTGCCTCTGCCCCCGACCCCCACCCCCTGCCCCGCTCCTTATCGCCAGCCCCTGCCCCTGTCCCCTGCCCCTGTCCCCTGCCCCTGTCCCTATCTTCTGCCCCCGCCCTCTGCCCCTGCCCCGGCCCCAACCCCCTATCCCTCTCCCCAGCCATGCCCCTGTCCCTCCGCCCCCCACCCCCTGCTTGACCACGCTGACAGTGTCCTTCACATCAGGCCACGCCACGGCAGCACCTACACACTGGGATGGGCCTCGTGCACCTTGGAGTCTCACTAGGCACCCAGCAGAGTGTGCATGGGGCATTGTCTGGGAGATTGGAGGACGCTTACAATAAGAGTGTCTGGGAGGGAGACCCCAGAGGGGCACAGGGGCCTTGGCCAGGGTCTTAGCCCTCCCACCATGTGGCCCGTGGCCCTTCCCTCTGKGGTCTGGAGGGAAGCAACACTGTTCGCACCTTGATTTCAGATTTCTGGCTTCCAGAGCTGCAAAACCATATATGTCCCCTGTTTTAAGTAGCTTGTGGTCTTTGTCACAGTGGTCATGGGAAACTAACAGGCCACCTCGTCAGCACGAAACAAAGMATCCCCGGAGCTTCTGCGAATGGCACCCGCACTTCCATCAGGGGAAACGGCAGCCAGTAGGACATGGTGGTGACAGCAGGTTGGAGGTGGGCGTCGTTGCCTCTCGTGGCCTCACATCTGGCTCTGGCTCAGCACCTTGTCCCTGGGCTGGACCTCCCCCTCCCTCCCTCCCTCTGGACGCTGCCTCCTTGGCCTTTACTTCCGCCATTTCCCTGCCCTTCTCTGTGTTAGGGCTCAGTTCCAGGCCCACCTTCTGCCCCACAGACCTGTTTCTGATCCCACCCTCTCTGGAAAGCCACCCACAGGGCGTTGTCCCCACAGCACGGTCCCACAGTGCGTGTGTACCTCAAGAGGGAGGGACATGGCTTCTCAGACCACGAGGCTGGGGACCGGCAGAGGGTGGGACAGGGTCTCACTTTTCCCATCCCCTGTGCAGAGCTCAGCAAGGGCCTGCAAAGGACAGAGGGGTGAATGGGCCTCTGGTGTTGAAGCCAAAGGGGGACCCCATCTAAGGCAAAGAAGGGACGTTGGGGGTTGCTTAGGGTTGGGGAGGAGAGATAAGGGGTGATAGCTAAAGGGTTTTTTAAATCATGGTAAACTATAAATGACGTTTAGCATTTGGGCCAATTTAAAGCGTACAGTTCAGTGGCATTAGGTGTACTCACGCCGTTATGTGACACGCAGTCTCCTTCTTTGGGTGATAAAAATGTTCTTAAATTGGCTGGCGATGGTCACATAACTCTGTGAATACACTAAAAGCCACCAAACTGGATACTTCAAATAAGCAAAATGCATGGTATTAAACACATTCAAAAAACACTTCTGAAAAAAACTATTATCTAAAAAGAGAACACACACACACACACACACACACACCTGCAAAGATCAGACCAATTTTACTTCCTGCATTAGGTTTTTCTGGGATTTTTATAATGCACACACACTGTCTGCAGATTTCTCTAGAGCTGAATGGTTTCCAGAGTCCTCTCTGGAGGAGCTCAGCCTTACAAGCTCCCTGTGCCACCTGTCACCAAGGGGACCATGTCACCCCTTGCCTTGCCAGATTGCCTTTTGGCCACGTCTAAGGGATGGCCAGTACCCACTTGTGCCCTTGCCAACAGCCTGCGGCAGAGGCAGCCAGCTGTCCCTCCCGACCAAGGTGCCAGTGGTCGCAGCAGGTCTCCTTGATGGTCACACTGTGTATAATCCCTGGGGGCACAGAAGAGCCTGGGTGGGGACCCGCCAGACACCATCTAATCCATTTCCAAGGGCAAGGCTCAAGCGTGGGCACCAGCCAGCCGAGGCTGGTGCACTCAGAGGGGATCACACTGAGACCCTTGCTCCACCCACAGGGAAGGTGACCCTGACCTGTCACCCTGAGGCTCACCATCGAGGCTGAGCAGGGGAAGGGAGAGAAGCAGGTTGGCTCCTGGACTTACAACCTCAACATCAAAATGAAACATTCCTGAAAAACTGACGGCTATGAGAAGTTTTGTTTTTTTTTTTGCTTTTTAGAAATTGTTTTGTCGCTCAGTAATACCAACATCCTGACCAGGACAGATACAGCCTGTGTCTCTTTCTTTCTCAGGGCACCTCCAACACCTAGCATGGTGCTGGCCCATCGTCAGTTCTCAAATCCTTACATAGTTCTTTATAAATAAAATGCTTCACTTTGAAATGCTTATGGATCCTCAGTGTACAGGGAAGTCCTGTGTGCTGTCCCCGGGTTCCTCCCAGTGGTGAGTAATTGTGTATGATTGAAAATAATTGAGAGTACCAACCCAGGAAACCGGCCTTGGTACAATCCACAGAGCTTATTCAGACATCACCAATTTAGCATGCACACAATTGCACACGTGTGTGTGCACKCGTGTACTCCTATGCAGTTTTATCACATGAACCACCACAACCAACACATCTACCAGTACCATCACACAAGGCTCCAGCATGCCACTCCTCTGTACCACGTCTGCCCTCCTGCCACTGCCAGCCCCAGAATCCTGATCCATTTTCAACTAATAACACAACACCTCAGACTGGGTAGGTTATAAAGAGGCTTATTGTAGGGTGTGGCTCTGGAGGTCAAGGGCAAGGGGTGGCACTTAGTGAGCGCTTTCCTGTTGGAAGGGTCCCAGCCGGTGCACCGTCTCCCCTGGTGAGAGACAGGGAGCACACACATGTGTCTCCCGATAAGCCACCCAGGATTCAATCACGGGCTCTGCCTGATGACCTCCTCTAATCCATCGCCTCCCGCAGCGCCCCACTCCCCCAT